TGATTACCATAATCTTTTTAAAACATTTAATGTCTTAAAACATTAAAATGATTTAATCATTTAATGTGACGCGCGTCGTGGTAAAATAATTGTTTTGATTTTAAACAGAAAGGAAATCAGAGCATGGACATGAATTCAAAGGTAACTGAATTGATTAACCTCTTTATTTTAATTTCACATGGCGCAAACGTCAAGCTCCTTTGTGTACATACAAATACACAATACTCGTTAGATACACTTTCGATTAACCAAATGGCATTCGATTCGAGGAAACCACAATTTTACGACAAATTAATCATGTTAATTAATTGTTAATAATTAATTTTGTAGAAAGTATTCAAGCATTGATAGAACGATTCGAAGTAAAACAAAAAGGTAAGTAAGTGAATTTGAAATTTTGCAGAGACAAGAAGAACACTAACAATCTAAGCATCATACTTTAATTGATTCAAGCAAGTCTGCATCTCGAAGTAACTCCTATCTGGAAAATTAAAGGGGTATAAACTGAGAATAGTTTTATTGAGAAAACTTCTCAATAGTCTATTAATCTTGTGGTGTAATTTCTCAGAAATTGAGTTCAAAGTATTAATACGAAAAATAAACCATGAAATTTTCTAAGTTTGCCCGTTCATATACAAATCATCGACCGCGGTGTTAAACAAGCTAGTGAGATGGTGTAATTTTTCATTTTGCGTGACTTAATGTATACCCTGATCACGACTTATTGTTTTTACTTCGTGAGGAGCGATTAATGCTGCATTGGAAACACGAAGGTAATCATCCTAAAAATATTCTCGGTCTAATTAGTTTTGCCCATCTTTCCATCCTTGTTTTAATTTCAGCACACTATTGCGCAAGGCATTATTATTAACATGAGGGTCCAGGGCCGACATCTGGGGCATGTTTTCAAAATGGTCCAGATACGCTCGTCGATTTTGTTTTTAACTCGGAGATTGCGTTAGCAATCGAAGAATTCTTGTAGGTGAACGATCTGTCAATCACTATGTCACTCACTCACTCACTCACTCACTTTCCTGTAAACTGCGTTGTTGCCTTAGTAACTGCTATATTGACTTATTCATTTTTAATTATTCATCTTCACGGTCTACCTGTTTCTTTCTTTCTTTCTTTCTTTTTTTTTCGAAGAGCAAGAAATTCATGTCCTCGATGAGGCTCGAACCCCGGACCTCTCGCGCCAACGGTAAAGACACTACCACTAGACCATGTGCCATTAGACATTACGTCATGAGTATTTTGCTAGCTTTTATCCGACACCCGATCAATCAATGGGTTTCCTGTGTCATAATCGATAAAACTGCTAAGGAGCGAAATGTCGAGAGTTTTTAAAACGGTTTCCGCTTCGAGTGTGTGTCGACAGTTAGAAAGAGTCAGTGAAACGGATCAAGGGAAACGTAAGCTTAAATGAAGCTTCTCGACCCTAATTTGTTGTTGATAAACGTCTCGGCCGAATTTGACCATATTTAAGAACTTACGTAGAAAACAAGATCTCAAGCAAATGGTTGTGAATATGCCCTTTGGATCTTCAGATAATCAAACAAAGTGCTGAAATTTACTATTTTGTGTATAATTATAATTTGACTCGTCATATGTTGTTCAGTCACAACGGAAGCACGAGGAAGACTCGCCGATACGACTAATTCGTTCCGAAAACCACTTTATACGTATGTTTTATTTATCCATGTTCGTCTACAATTCAAAAAATGTATTCTTCGTTTTCAGTTTACGTCACAACGGCCATGTTGGAGGAACATTAACAAAGGATTTCTCATTAGTATCTATTGTTCATTCCTCCAACATGGCTGCCGGTCTTTTATCTTTTGAATCATATGGGAATGGGTGAAAACGATCAATTCACTCGCTAACATACTATTACATTGTAATATTTGATATATAGTTTATGTTGTGGTTAGATATCGATAATACTTTCCGCTACAGAAACTGGCAAACACTCGTAGTACAGTGGTGCCGTACAGTTGGTCGGGATTCAATCGAACCAACTTTCGTTTAATTCACCGTTACAGAGTAAGCATTCTTAAAAGAATTGCTGGGAAAAATAATTTATAATAAAAAAAGAAATTAAAAAGAATATTTCGTGGGACTCGAACCGGGGCCGTCTGCACCCAACGACCACGTTTAATCCACTGAGCTACGATGGCAAATTGAATAATTGACGCACGCTAGCTTCCGTAACTATGAAAATCGAACCGCTTGGGATGTTTGCTTTACGGAGGCAACTTATCCATAACCGAAGTTAAAATAATAAGATTTTAACGAAAAAAAAAATTATTCGTAAATCGTTTACTTAAAATATATTTGATTCATTGTTCCCAATTCGTCTATACAATCAATCTTTGAGTTATGTCTTGCCATTGGCAGCTTGATTGTTGTTGTTCTTGTAAACGATATGTTTGTGCGCATGTAAAATCTGCGTTTTCTAAAATAATAGCTGTAAAAAATAGCTGTAAGCCCATTCATCCTCAATGGTGTGTAGTCTGTGACAATACTAAATTCATGTATTTCTTGACACAAAACATTCAGAATTAATGGAACAACGACCACAACACGGGATGAGACTTTTAAAGACGGTACACAAAGGTATTTTTTTATTATTGTTTGTTTGTTTGTTTGTTTTGTGCAGATTTTGACGATTTGTAACAGCAAAAAATCTCTCAAAATAAAGCTAGACTATGTTTTTTTTAATGCATATAAAAAAGTCTACTAAGCCCTGTTTTATATCCCTCAATCGTGGTAGCGGAAAATATGCGGCTTGGAAAAGATACGCTGCCTAATACTAAATCTTGTATCGCATACTGTSAGCAGATATTGGGTGTAGAAACCTTTAACAACAGTTGCCAAAATGTTTTGTAAAAGGTTAATATTCTACAACAAATTAAAGTCCACCTCACCCAATTTTTTGTATATTTGTAAAGAAAAGACTTTTGTCATAGTAACAACAATTTGTGCAAACAAATTTGATTTCGTTTATTTAAACTACATTTTGAAGCGAAAGCAACCGCGGACAAAGCCAATTTCGGGATTCCTGTGTGCCTGATAAATGTCTTCGTGATGACGTTGAGGGAGTAAGTCGTTCGAGAGACGAACCTGGAATTTGAACAGCTGTAAATACTACCTACATATATTGAAAGAAGTGACTTACCTCGGGGCCGTAAATAACTTTTCCTGTTCCTCGATATAGACCTAGATCTACGCAACACTTGTTCGTCCAGAATAATCTCTCAACACTTTGGCTCCATTTTTATAGCCAAGACATGAAATAACGTTCAGATCGTCAGACTAATCTCTAGTAGCATTAGATTTGCCGTTTCAGGCTGGATTATCCCACGTTCAGTCTTAGAAAACATAGATTTGTAATGAAATATGTGGAACTTGTACAGTAAACTTTGTATTTGCGGAAGGACGAGTTACTCCATCTACGTCATCAACCCAGGCTCCCTCGCACTCGTCCAAAAATCATTTGGCCGAATTAAACGAGCATAAAAAATATAGAATTTGGAAATTCGAATTTTTTTTATGTGAATTTGTGGTTTATAACTCCTAAACTTTTTTTTCCAACTGTAAAAAAAATTGGGTGAGGTGGACTTTAAATAGTATAGGTCAAATTGCTTGAAGTAGACACCTGATTTTCATCCTGGGTTTCGGCCCTACGCTCTCGTATTCCAAATCGAAGGTCAGATTTGCGGTCAGATTTTTTTAATTTGTTATTCCTGTGTGCAGCAGAACCAACTGTTACAGAGTTATCTACAGTTTTGGTTCGGCTGCACTCAGTTTAGCGAGCAGTGTCTCCCGTCGCGTCGAGAGAAGAACTAAAAAAATCGTCTAACACCAGGTTACTTTATAACTTAAAAAAATTGGAATAAAAAGGTTTTTTTG